AAAGAGCAGGTGGATTTCAGTAATAAAAAATTATATAATGGGCATCAAAAATGGGTGCCCTCCTTGCCAACAAAAATTATAACAACTTATGTACTGTTCGCCAAATTTCAACAAATAATATTTGATGATGTATGATTGACTTTAAGACAAATAGCAAATTTGATAGACATCACATCGGGGGCAATTTACATTGCTTTTAAGAAACGTTTGGTGGTAAAAAAGCTTGATACTCAAAGGTCACCCTATATTTTGAAAAATTTGTGAAAATGACAGCGTGTACGGAATTCTTAACAATTATTTTAAAATATCAGTAATTGTAGTTATCCACGTTTGTTTTATTTTCAAACAGATATATGAACATGAATCTATTGTTTAAAACCCAAAAAACAAAATTTACCATAAGATGAACTTGATAAAAACGGCGAATGTCTGAAAAGTACACAGGTATGCAAGAGCATAAAGACAGATTTATATGTAATTTTCTTAAACATTAGTGGTAATGTTGTTCAAAATCGTAATCAGAGAGATAGTTTAATTTCTGGAGGAGTCTAGAAAGCACCTTTTTGGTAAAAAAATCAATAGGTTTATTAGAGGAAGGACCCAGAATCAGGAATCCACTACATTGAATTTCTTCAAGACAGCGTCCAAACCCGCATGCCCTGAAGAGTAAAGGGGTTTTCGGGATAAACAGAAAGTTAATGTTTTTTCACATTAACAATATTTGCAAGATCTTTGACCTTTTGACTTGTTTCTATTTCCAAACTTGGAAAAAATACCTTTCAGAAGGAAGAAACAAGTCGGAGAAATCATTGGATCTGCCATTTTCCAGTATACTGACGGTCATACCCAAAAATGAGTTCTACAAACGACCAGAAATTGGATAAAAAATGTTACGGACATGTATTTTACTTAAAAGAGATAAATTAGTAAAATCATGAAGAATAAATCATTGAAAAGTGTCTTTTGCTTCTTTCTGAGCACCGAGGACATTATTTATTGAACAGCCCTCGTATAACAAAATATTGACTGTTAAAGAGTTATCGAAAAAAGACTTTAAGCCCCTTTTGGCCCCTAATTTGAGTGTCCAGCCCCTTTTTGTTGATATCATCTTGAAGGTCTTAGAATTTTGAATACTTTTTGTTCAACAACTATTCAGAGATTCTTTACCGTTTTCGAGTTATTTGCAAAAGAAATATTTAGGGGCCAACCCTTCAACTCCCTAATGGGGACTTTTAGCGAAAAATGAAAGGCTACATATTGTTCAGAACATGATTTTGAACATCTTTTGTTCAATATTACTTGTCAAAATATTTCTCACTTTCGAGATATAAAGCGTCAAAGATGTAGCATTCTGGCCCCTTTTGGCCCCTAATCATGTATTATACGACATTAAAATCACAATATATAGTTGTAAAATGTTGAGATAAACATTTTTGCTTCAGTAATGTATAACAAAATATTAACTGTTAAAGAGTTATCGAAAATAGACTTTTAGCCCCTTTTGGCCCCTAATGTGATGAGTCAGCACTTTTTTCATGATACCGTTTTAAAGATCTTGTCATTCTGCACAAATTTTGTTCAGTATGTTTTAAGAAAAAAATTATACTTTAAAAGATATGATGCAAAATGTCTTTAAAAATCAGTCATGATTCGTGTCCTAAATTTTGACCCCTACCGAGCTTCCATACTAGACACTTCCGGAAAATTTGAAAACCCAGGTGCACAACTACAACATGTCCTCTACTATCACTAAAAATTTCAACACTCTAGCTTTTGTGGTTCTTGAGTTTTTGTGTCGACAAAATGGTCACTAAAAATTCGATAAAAGGGCGATAACTTCTTACCGGAAGTGACTTTTCAAAAACGAAAGTGCCGGAATTAACTTCAGATAAAGATGCATCAACCCTGAAAATTTGAACAAAATTGAACGAGCCATCTCCGAGAAATCCTCTGCACAAAATTTGTAAAGAAAAGAAAAAAGAATAATAAAAGTGAAAAAGAAACAATAGAATAATAGAAGAGTCTTCCGCTGAAGACGGAAGACCCTAATAACTAGATACGATCTCGTTGCGAGCAACGAGTGGGTCTTCCGTTCAATTCTTGATGAGATGAGATAAGATTTTGATTGAGATTTTCATTCTAAAATAATGATTTTCCATAATCTTTAAAAAGACATTGAACATTAAAGACTTAAAAAATCGGCTTTTGGCCCATAACGGCCCCCAATTTTAGGAATCGGCCCTTTTTATTCATATCATCTTAAAGATCTTAAGATTTTAAACAATTTTTGCTCAACAACTATTCAGAAATTCTTTTTAGTTTTTGAGCTATTAGCAAAAGAAATATTTAGGGGCCAACCCTTCAACTCCTTTATGGGGACGTTTAGAAAAAAAATGAAAGGTTGCATATTGTTCAGAACATTATTTTGAACATCTTTTGTTCAATAATGCTTATCAAAATATTTCTTCCTTTCGAGATATAAAGCATCAAAGATTTAGCATTCTGGCCCCTTGTGGCCCCTAATTATGTACCATAAGACATGAATATCATAATATATAGTTGTAGATGGTTGAGATAAACATCTTTGCTTCAGTAATGTATTACAAAATATTAACAACTAAAGAGTTATCGATTGAAGACTTTTGGCCCCTCTTGGCCCCTAATTCGAGTGCCCAGCCCCTTTTTTGGGATCTCATCTTAAAGATCTTAAGATTTTGAACATTTTGTGTTCAACAACTGTTCAGAAATTATTTTTCGTTTTTGAGCTATTAGCAAAAAAAATATTTAGGGGCCAACCCTTCAACTCCTTAATGGGGACGTTTAGCAAAAAATAAAAGGTTGCATATTTTTCAGAACATTATTTTGAACATCTTTTCTTCAATATTGCTTATCAAAATATTTCTCCCTTTCGAGATATAAAGCATCAAAGATTTACCATTCTGACCCCTTGTGGCCCCTAAATATGTACCATACGACATAAAAACCATAATATATAGTTGTAGATGGTTGAGATAAACATCTTTGTTTCAGTAATGTATAACAAAATATTAACTGATAAAGAGTTATCGAAAAAAGATTTTTGGCCCCTCTTGGCCCCTAATTCGAGTGCCCAGCCCCTTTTTCGGGATCTCATCCTAAAGATCTTAAAATTTTGAACATTTTTTGTTCAATAACTATTCAGAAATTCTTTTTCGTTTTTGAGCTATTAGCAAAAGAAATATTTAGGGGCCAACCCTTCAACTCCTTAACCCCTTCCATGGCAAAATTTTTTAGCATTTTTAGAGAAATAATATCAAGATTTTAATGCATTTTTTCGGGTATTTCTTGTAATTTTTGTAAATACCAATGTATATATATTCTGAAAGTAGGTATTGTGAGGTTTCTGAAGATGATAATGAAAACATTCTTTCTGTTGCCATGGCAACGAAATATGCCCAAATTACTGAGAAATCTCTATTTAACCTTCAATTAGTTATATATAAACTTTTTTAGTTCATTAAAGTATTTAAAGTAAGTAAATTTTGATGTTGAGACATAGCAGCATATTGTTTACCCAAAGTTTTAATAAAATTTTAAGCACTTTAGGGAGTAAATACAGGATTTCAACATTTTATGCTCCAGTAGGGAAAAGGAAGAATAACGTTGCTTAACAGCTATCTCTCGCAATCATAGACCAAGTATTACTCATTCCATGTCTGAAAAATCCTTTGTTTGACAGACAAGAAACTTAGTACATGTGCACTCATGACTGGTACCCCTTAGTAAGTACATGATGACCCCTTTTGAGATGGAGGTCAAAAGGTCAAAGGTCAAACTATTCAAAATATATAAAGATATTTAAGGAATGAAGTTAATTTCAACTTATGTTATACGATATAACATATCTTATACGATATAACATAACTTGGGGCAGTTTATTAAAAAGCGTAAACTGCCCCAAGTTTTGTTATATCGTATAATATAAGTTGAAATTAGCTTCATTCCTTATAATTTTATTTCAGTATAGACAATTAGACATTTTTTTTCCTCCAGAATAAGGTTTCAAATTGAGCATTATTTTAAAAGTAACGTCAAGCAAAGTAATACGTTTTTGACGTAACTCATTGAGACGTAGGCAAGTTATGTTTTCCAAAATATTATATGTTCCTCTGAATGATTCAACCAATGAAATAGCCTGATACAAGTGAAATTAAATTATTAACCATTCAAGATTTTGAAAACCCTTTGCTAAACAAAAAATATACGGTGCAGATCTAAGAAGTCTGATTTTAATTCCATTGTTTCTTTTCAGATAACAATTTTTGTTCACTGTTATCCTCTGAAGAGTAAATTACTTCTGGTGATTTTTGGTTTGATAGAATGTTTGCCCCTGACCAGTCAACAACTATTTTCTTCACAATAACAAATTCTAAAGTTTTTTTCCAATATTGTCGTGCAGGTATAAATTATACCTGTATTTGTTTCTCGAACAATTCTAGTTTTTAATCACACTTTTTTACCCTGGTAGGAATGATCATAATTGTTAACAAGTGCTAAATACTTTCAAGTAAATATAAAGATAAAATTACACAAGCAGAAACTTAGATGTTATATATGGCTCTTGACAAAAAAAGAATAGAAAAAAATCAAAGACTTTGAACTTTAATAATTCATAGACTTTTCAAATTTGAATGAAGTTGAACTTTGATCTATGACATAGCACATTGTTGCATAATTGAAAAAAAATTTCCTCTATGAGTAGACACCATCATTCTTAACTTACAAACTTAAGGAGATTTACAAAATGAAATCTTAGCTTCCAAAATAACATTTGGAAGATTTGATATGCCTCTGTACATGGTATTCAAATTTTAAAATATAATGCGTAAAATTAAGGAATATTAACCTTGATCTTTGAGTCATTGTAATGTACAGTAATCCTATGTTTTATGTATTCCTGCAAGTGACATCTCATACAAATTTTCCAAGCATGATTATGTGACTTACGTAACAAATTTATCTTAGAGATTAACATCAGAATGAAATTCCCTGAAACATCGTTCACTACACAAGTGTTTGTTACACCCTTTACAACCATAAACTGTCTCCTTTCTTTTCTTTTCTCCGTGTTTGGTACACCATTTGCATGTTGACTTTAGGCGATCCAGATGGCAAAAAACATGAGGGGGGTCAAGAATACCCTGTAAATGATGGCCCCGCTTTCTTCCTCTGAAGCCTCCAATAAGTTGCTGAGCCACCTCCATCCTGAAATCCAGCAGGTTAAACCTTGTTTTGGCAGGAAGATCCTTACCAGGTGTTCTGGAAAAAATCTCAAATGCATTTATAAGGCAAACTTCCATGATAAAGTTGAAGAAAAACTTCCAGTATTTTTTGGATGGTCTGCCAACAGGATTCTTTGCACGGTGTTGCATGCATCTGTCGACTCCACTCATATAATGTTGATAGGAAGATAATGGTGGAGGACACATAACCTCAACAAAATTTCCACCCCGAGTTCGACGGACAACTGGGCCATCTCCAAACGGACTACAATTAGTGCTCAAAATATGTACCTAAAATAAAATTACATAGAGATATAGGCCTAACTGGAAATTAAACTTACATGTACGCTACATATAGATATATTTACTTCTTTGGGATTTTAAGATAAGCACTGAAACTATATTTGCACTATGAGACTTTTAACAAAGATATACACAAAAAATTGCACAGGAATATCATTAATCAGATAGACCTTTATGTCCTCCTTAACTCTTTAGTTGAAAGTTTAATAATTGCAGGTAGAAGTGTAATTGTGATAAATGTTACTATTTTTATTAAATTTTGAAACATAGTACATGTCTGTATGAAGACAATGAATATGTAGTAATACCGCTTTCTTATCTTTCCAAGCAGTGGCAAGCAATTGGTCGTGCTGCATCTGTAATGTCTCCCCTCTCCTTAAATCTGGATTTCTTAACTCTGGCGGAAATCCTTCCAAGTCGCTCTTTATTGTCCCACAACTAAAAATCCCATTCTGAAGCAAGGTTCGCACCAAGGAAATGGATGTAAAGAACCTGATATTATATAAAGTATAAAAATATTAGACATTGGAAAATATGAAATTATTTTGATAATGAATCTTTTATCACTCAGTGTTGTTGTACAATGTTGAAGTCATTTTAAGTTGTTTCAAACACCAACCTGTCAAAGAACACATGATGGCCTTTGTATTTCAATGGTCTACACAAGTGTTTGACGACTCTTTCTCCTAGTGACTTTCCATGAAAAAAGTCATGTTTTCCCATATATGGCCAATAATCGTAGCAATAACCATCCTCATCACATCTCATGAATATCTGAAAAAAATATTTTGTTGCATCAAATTTTTTTTTATAACTATTCACCTAGCATTTCAGAGACATACATTAGCCGGTGGACCATTTACTGGGGGGATGATTACCGTATATAATCGCCTATAAGTCAGATATTTGGGAGTAAATCTCTGGTCCAAAACTCTATGTCCGACTTGTAGGCTAGCTATAAAATGAATGGTATTATATGAGGTCAGTCCTTCTGATATATAAGCTTATTAAATACAACCAACTTATAGGCGGACCGACTTGTAGGCGAGTATATACGGTACCTGTTCTTCTCATCCATTCCCTTATCCACCTCATCATCATATAAAAAAAATTTTAATGCTTCCTTAGTGTTTTTTTAAATATGTAATTAATAATTTTCAAATAATTACATTATTTTGTGTATCACAATATCAATTTATTGAATGCAAATAGGCATTTCATTGATACAAACCTTAAAACCTCTCTTGACCGGTTTATTCGGCATGTATTGTCTTGCAAAAAATCTCCCTTTGTACTTAACCATGCCCTCATCAATAGCCTGCTGCTTAGGTGGATTCATCTGACTCCGGAATGTCCTTCTCGTCTCATCAAGTACAGGTCTTATTTTGTGTAATCTGTTGAAAAGAAATGTGAAATATTTAAGAAATAAAATATCATTTTTAGAGTTTCATTAGGATGTGACATGAAGTCGGTCACGTGATCAAATTCTATAACACCCGAATTGCGTTATTGTAGATCTGATCACGTACTGACTTAATTTCACATCCCAATGAAACTCTAAAAAATGATATTTTATTTCTTATATTTATATTTTACTTTTATTCGTGTTACAAGGAAAAATAGGCGCTAGTTTGACATTGTTATAGAAATGCAACATTACGTTACTACGTCGTCATTATGACGTCACAGTCAAGACTTTCTAATAGTCTCCTGCGGTTTGCACAACTGCATGTCATTGAAAATTGAATGTCAAAACTATTTATATTGTCATATAAGGAAAGACATTAGCAAATGTAAATATAAATCTATAAAACAAAATGAAGACACTAAACTAAAGAGATGTGAATCAGTGTCAATTTCATAACTGATTGAGTGTCAATTTCATAACTGTTTATTGGTTTTCTGTAACTAATATTAGTTATAATTAATTTAAGATCACTGTTGAATAATTTCTAGAATATTTATATTGATTAACTATTAAAATACAGAATTATAAATTGCATACCTGTCAAATTCAGGTGTTCCTCTGGCTCCCTGAGTAGTATTATCACTGAGATGGAAATACCGAGTGAGCTTTTCAAATCTTTTCAAACTCAGCGTTTCTTGAAAACCAATGTTACCTGCATATGATTGTAAATTTCACTTATCAATGTCAATTTTAAAAAATAGATTCAACAATAAATGGATTTTATCTCTAGAAAATGAGATAAGAAATAAAGAAACAATTTTAAATGACTTACACTGCCAATTCCAGAAGAGCACTAAGCACGTCTAAAGTATTTTCATTTTATATTCAACATATTCCTCAATATTTAGAAAAGTTTATGATCCGAGTTGTTTCATGGTAAAGGTTTGAAGACATTGGTCAGCTCAACATCTACATAAATATTGTTTGAATAGAAATACAAACATAAATTTAATACAAATGAAACAAGTTGAATGGGTGTGCAATTTATAGACAAAAACAAAAATGTACAATAGTTGAATACACATTATGTTTATATCTCTTTGTTACACACACAAAACAAAGACAAAAAAGTAAACATTGTAGTCATGAAGGTTTCCAGACAATGCGAGACACAACAATTATGAACTTAACATAAGTTCATTACATGTAATATTATTTCTTTATTTTTAATTTTTATCAAGGAAAAATGGATCAACTGGTGTCCGTTGTAAATATAATAAAATTTAATGTACTTTTCAAAATCTGGAAAGGAAATGACTGACAATATTTTTTTTCAAATTGTAACATGAACATTATCTGATTATTGTAAACAGAAAGTAATCTAAAGAAACAAAACAATATAGGTGCAAATTTTATAACTTACCGATAAACTTATCAGATGACCAATACATAGTGTATCTGGGAAGCTGAATAATCCCCATCAGAATTTGTAATCCGAGGAATGCCTTCATCTCGTCGATAGTGGTATCCGTCCAACCCTAGGCTCCACTCTGAGCAGCATACGAATTGGTGTTGTCCACAAGTACCTGTACCAGACTCAAGGGAAACAAAAGCAGGAAATATAACAGAGGATTTGCATCCGAAGAGAGCTGATGAGTGGGACCTGAATTATCGACGAAGTCTGGAACATCATAGTCTTCCACAACATCAGTCCAGAAATCAGAATCTCTAATGTCGCTTGCCTGGCTGTCAAGGTCAAATAATGTGGAATCTGTGTCCTGGTTGTTATCGCTGTCTGTCTCACTTCCAAAGGAATGGTCGCTGTCTGAATCATCCTGATCAAAATCTGATCCAGATTCGGATGAATCGTCGCCAAATTCTTCGTCTGTATCTATATCTGACGATTCTGGAGATGAAGAAATGTCGCAAGAAGCCATATTGTTTACACGTGTTACGAATGTTGCCAAATATACGCAGAACGATCCCGACAGATTTTCATAATATTTTCGCATGTTTTCTTTTTTTATCAAAACAACAAAACCATCTACTTTATTGTAAAAGTGGATATGTGGTTATGTATTTTAAACAATTTTTTACTCGTTTTTTCTCTTCCAGGGAAATTCAAACATTTTTATATCCATATATCGTAATACGAACGTAACTCTCAAAAATATTTTTTGAATTGGTCAACTAAAAACATTTTTTATCATTATCTAACACGCGTATTTATATTTTAATTAGATAATTAGTTCCTAACACATCTAATTGAATAAACTATTTGGTTTTGATATTTTCTGAAGTTGTTTAAACGTGTTTTGCTACGAAAAATTGACAAGTGTTTGTACCGCGTGGATTTCGATCGCGGCAAATATCGCTTGAATAATACACGTTGTTTAACTCAAAATACCAAAAAACTGGTAAATCAAATTAAAAAAAATTTAGAACAAACTTTCTTTGCAATCGTTCCCTCTTTCTAATGATACAAAAATTATTTCAATATTCGCAGTTTTAAGAAGTTATGAATATTTGTTTACACTCTACACGTTTTTCACGCCAGAGACGTAGAAAAGCGTATATGCCATGGAAGGGGTTAAAGGGGACGTTTAGCAAAAAATGAAAGGTTGCATATCGTTCAAAACATTATTTTGAACATCTTTTCTTCAATATTGCTTATCAAAATATTTCTACCTTTCGAGATTTAAAGCATCAAAGATTTTGCATTCTGGCCCCTTGTGGCCCCTAATTATGTACCATGCGACATGAATATCATAATATATAGTTGTAGATTGTTAAGCTTAACATTTTTTGTTCAGTACGCAATACAGTTAAGGTGCGCAATGGAAATATTGACGAAATTTTGTATTTAAAAATGTATTCGTAAACGGGATGACGATTATTTTTAGTACATTATTTATATCGGATAATTGTAATTATAATTAATAACTACATATCGAGGACGATTATATTTTATATTTAGACTAGTCACGTGATGCTGCAGTCACGCAATTTTAGCACATTGACTTGAATTATTGATGTTACATATAAATATCACTAGTGCAAGGGCATAACCAAGTAAAATTTCCAAGTTTAGCTAGTATATAAATATTTTCAACACGCTTTGTAGTTTCTAAAAAGTGCTGCGATCCTGTCTATATTCTGCAATTTCATTGTTAAAATTACACTTGTATGACCGAATGCTATATTTATTGCTGGTCAGCAGCATGAATTATTGATATAATTAAATTGTTGTTAAGATTTCATCAGGATCGCAGCACTTTTTAGATACCTTATTAGTTGTATAGTTGAAATGTAAAAGCTTACTTTGATCCATAGAGTGTATGCCCTTGCACTAGATCGATTTATTAAGACCCCCACATTACCCTCCGATGTACTTGCATACAAATATACGGCAGTGTCAATTCAATACGTAATGTACAGAAAATATATTAATAAAATAGTGAAGAAGACAATAAATTCAAGTTATTGGCCCATAGAATATCTGTAAATAATATTTTATTTAATTAGAGAATACATATTTTGTTGAGAAAATATTACTTGATCTGTCTCTCACTGCATACAAACTACGTCACATTGTAAGAAATGATGTCATATTGACAAGTGTATTGCGATCAGTGACTTGTTTGTAACTCGATATGTGGGATTCAACTAACGACAAAACAACACGCTGTAGTAAGTTTTTATGTAGTTTGATGATTTCTTACTGGTTAAATTAGCAGATAAACTCATTTTGTGGTATTTTAAAGAAATGCTGTCTGACGTATATTGTAAATGATGTCATAGTCAAGTTTTCCCGTACAAATTAGGCTCCGCCTCCTTTTTGTAACCTTAAATGTGCTGCGTAATATATACCAAAATATTGATTGTTAAAGAGTTATCGATTAAAGACTTCTGGCCCCTTTTTGCTCTTAATGTGATGAGTCAGCGCTTTTTTCTTGGTATCGTATGAAAGATCTCGATGTTCTGCACAAATGATGTTCAATATGTTTTAACAAAATATTTATACTTTAAAAGATATGATGCGAAACGTCTCAAAAATTCGGTCATGATTCGTGTCCTAAATTTTGACACCTACCGAGCTCCCATACTAGGCACTTCCAGAAAATATCCTGACCCAGGTGCAATATGGCAACATGTCTTCTACCATCCCTGAAAATTTCAGCTTTCTAGCTTGAGCCGTTTTTGAGTTCCATCACAGACAAGAAGGTCCTCTAAATTTCGATCAAAGGGCGATAACTTCCGACCGGAAGTGAGTTTTTGAAAAATGACTGGCCGGAATTAACTTCAGATGACAACGCATTGACAGTGAAAATTTGAAGCAAATCGAACGAGCCATCTCCGAGAAATTTTCTGCACAAATTTTGTAAGGAGAAAAAAGAATAATAACTAGATGAGATCTCGTTGCGAGCAACGAGTGGGTCTTCCGTCCAATTCTTGATGAGATGAGATAAGATTTTGATTGCAATTTTTATTTTGAAATAATGATTTACCACAATCTGTAAAAAGACATTGAACATTTGAGACTTTTAAAAATCGGTATTTTGCCCCTAACGGCCCCTAATTTTAGGAATCCGCCCTCTTTATTCATATCATCTTAAAAATCTTAAGATTTTGAACATTTTTTGTTCAACAACTGTTCAGAAATTCTTTTTCGTTTTTGGGCTATAAGCAAAAGATATAATTAGGGGCCAACCTTTCAACTCCTTAACGGGGACGTTAAGCAAAAAAAGAAAGGTTGCATATTGTTAAAAACATTATTTTGAACAACTTTTGTTCAATATTTCTTATCAAAAGATTTCTCCCTTTCGAGATATAAAGCATCAAAGATTTAGCATTCTGGCCCCTTGTGGCCCCTAATCATGTACCATACGACATAAAAACTACAATATATAGTTGTAGATGGTTGAGATAAAGATCGTTGCTTCAGTAATGTATTACAAAATATAAGCTGATA